GCCGATTTAAAACTCAAGCCATCATGAAATACTCCAAATTCTTGTGATCCGTATATACGGTTATTGGATGTGCAGCTCCTTCAAGAAAGTGACGCCATTCTTCGAAAGAATCCACTATAGCAAGAAGTTCCTTATCGTGGATCTCATAATTGATTTCAGCAGCAGAGAACTTTCGAGAATAGAATGCAACTAGATGGAGCTTCTTATCTTCACTCATTTGTGAAAGCACAGCTCCCAAAGCAAAATCTGAAGCATCAGTTTCTAAATAGAAGGCCTTTGTAAAGTCTGGATGTACCAAAATTGGAGTTGTAGTAAATGCTGTCTTCAAGTCTTGAAACGCCTTCTCTGCCAGAGGTCCCCATTCCAACTTATCCTTGCATGTCAATCGAGTGAGAGGAGCAGCAACTTGAGAATAATTCTTGATGAAGATCCGATAGAAGTTAGCAAAACCAAGAAAGCATTTTACGTCTCTAACCGTCTTCGGAACCTCCCAAGACATGATTGCTTCTACTTTCTTGGGGTTCATCTTCAAACCTTCTATAGTCGCAATGAACCCCCAAAACTCCATCTCCGTTTGGTGAAATAAACACTTTTCTAATTTGGCATATAGTCCTCGCTTGCGTAGCTTCTCCAAGACCAAACGAACATGCTTCTCATGTTCTTTCTCATTTTTAGAGAATATTAGAATATCGTCTAAGTAGATGACAACAAAACCATCGAGTTGTTCTCGAAAGATGTCATTCATCATATGTTGGAAAACCGCTGGAGCATTGGTAAGACCAAAAGGCATGACATTATACTCGAAATGACCATACCTTGTACGGAATGCTGTCTTCCACTCATCTCCTTCCTTGATTCGTACGAGATTATAAGCTCCCCTTAGATCAATTTTTGTAAAGATCTTCGCATATCCAAGTTGTTCTAAGAGACTAGAAATCAAGGGTAATGGGTAACGATTTTTCTTTGTTACCTTGTTGAGGCCTCGATAGTCCACACACATCCGTAATGATCCATCTTTTTTCTTCACAAATAAGATGGGTGCTCCAGCTGATGATTTTGAATGACGAATGAAGTTCTTGGCTAGATTCTCGTCGATGTACTTTCGCAACTCTGCCAACTCCATTTGCGATAGATTGTAGATTGGGCCAAAAGGTGGTTGTGATCCTTCTTGCAAGTCTATGGCACAATCATATGGTCGGTGTTCCGGTAGTATGTTAGCGTTCTTCTTTTGAAACACGTCTTCAAAATCTTTATATTACTCCAGTATACTTGCTGTTGAGATCTTCTCCTCGGTAGTTGGAGCTGCATAAATGACAAATGGAGTGCCTTCCTTAGATGATCTTATAAACGCTCTTGCTCCAATAAATAAGGATTTCTTTTTTCGAGGTTTTTTACTAGGTTTTTTCTTGGGTGGTAACGTGGGAAAAGTCATCTTCCGGAACCTCCAATCTATCGATAGATTATGTTTTTCCAACCAAGAAAGACCAAGA